TCTTCTTCCATGCTTAGGCATGATCTTGCTTTAGAGGGTGTGAGATTGCATTCTTCTAATTGCATCAAGAATCAAGGTAAACTTATCAATTCTTTGTGGATTTATCTTATTCTTCTACTCGATTATTGGTTTTTCCATTTCTTTATAAACGTGGGGTGCCATAGGGTGTTTACTCTATTATTGGTGTTCTTGCTTCTTTAAGCTTTGAGTGCCATAGAGGGGGGTTTAGTTTGATCTTGAGTTTGATCTTTGATCTCTTCCAAAACTTGTAATAGAGTTCATGGAATTTATTCCTAGGGACTGAATTTATGGCACCCTATGAAATTAAATTCCATTGGAACTCGTATGACAAGTTTTGGAAAGAGATCAAGATCAAACTAAACCAAGATCAAACTAAACCCCCCTCTATGGCACTCAAAGCTTAAAGAAGCAAGAACACCAATAATAGAGTAAACACCCTATGGCACCCCACGTTTATAAAGAAATGGAAAAACCAATAATCGAGTAGAAGAATAAGATAAATCCACAAAGAATTGATAAGTTTACCTTGATTCTTGATGCAATTAGAAGAATGCAATCTCACACCCTCTAAAGCAAGATCATGCCTAAGCATGGAAGAAGAAAGTCTCTTTTTGATTAATTCATTGAATGATGAATAATTACAATATAAAAAACTATATATACTAATTCTAAGAGGTCCAGATCCTTAAAGGATTTAGATTAGTTAGTCTAAATCAGCTAAGGATAAGGATTTAGCAAATCTAAACCAACTAAAAGTCTTAACAAAAAAGTCTTAACAACTTAAGGATTTGGATATCTAATCCAAATCAACTAAAGATCGACTAAATCTGAACAAAATAAGGCTAAAATAATCAAGGGTGGCCGAATTATAGGAGGCCCAACCCATTAACAATACAAAAACTCAAAATAAACTAACTAAATTTTCAAGAGGTAGAGGCGGGCACGGTTTGGGGCGTGCCAGTTGGCACGGGCGTGCTTCAGATTAAGTGTTGTTCTTGCGAGAGTCAGAAGCTTGCACGGTCTGGGGCATGCCAGTTGGCATGGGCGTGCTTCAGATTAAGTGTTGTTCTCGTGAGAGTCAGAAGATTGCACGGTCTGGGACGTGCTAGTTGGCACGGGCGTGCTTCAAATCAAGTGTTGTCTCTCGAGAGGCAGAAGCTTGTATGGTCTGGGGCGTGCCACCTTACACGGGCGTGCTTCAATGTAAGTGGCTCCTCGCGAGAGGCAGAGGCTTGCACGGCCTGGGGAGTGCCACCTTGCACAGGCGTGCTATGTACAGTCTGGGGCGTGCCATGTCTGGAATTTCAGATTCCATCTCAACATGTGCTTCCATTAATGTGAGAAACTTAGGTGTTCTCCATGCTTCCTTGAGATCTATGGTTGAGTGCTTTGCATGGACTTTCTTGTAGTTGACTCCACTAGGAAGGCATTAATGGATTTTCATGTTGTTCTTCTTGTAGTTGATCCACTAGGAAGCATTAATGGATTTTTCATGTTGTTCTCCTTGTTCCCTTGAGTTCCATGGATGAGTGATGGCGGATTCGTATCACCATATCTGTAGCGTCTCGTAGTAGAGGCAGATGCCATATCTTCATCATGAAAATTAGGAGCCGGGGGATGAGGACACATAGGGTCATGAAGTTTTTCCAAAGGAGCTAGCTGGTTCTCTATAGTGGCCTCTTCCATAGGATTATGTTCCTCAGTTGAGATTGTTAAACGAGTACCTTCCACGTTATTTTTATCCCTTATAACCATAACATGTTCATCCTCTAATGCTACTTGTCTTGGCCTATTTGAAGGAGTGGGCCTATCATCCTCTTTCTGAGTTGTTGATATCATAGCATTCCTAGAGTTATTACTTTGCCCTTGTGGGCCTTTCCATGAAGAAACTAAATACTTCTGTTTGTGAACAAGATGAGTGTTGACCCCCACATGAGGCCTAACCCTATTTTTATTTCGGCCTTTCACCGAATTAGGAATAATATGGGCAGTCTCTTTAATAACAGTATTATCATCCTTAAATAAATTCTCAACTTCCTCATTGACTAGGACTCCAAAGTGGGTACCACTACCATTTGAATCCCATGCACTTTTAGAAAGTTTGGAATTACCATTCCCAGTAGGATTCCCTCTCCGATCCGGTTGCCTAGGATTTCGCTTTCTTTCTTTTTGAACAAGCAGTTGATTCTCAAGGATACAAGATTTTCTTGGTAGGGCCATATCTTCCTTCTTTGCCCTAGCTGGATCACGGGCGACCACCTCTTCTTCAACGTGCTCCACCTATGGGCACTTATCTGCAACATAGCCATAGTTCCCACACTTGAAGCACACCATATGAAGTCCTTCATATTGCACTCTCCTAATTCTCCTTCTCAATGAAAATTTAGAGACCAAATAGTTAAGTCCACTTTTATGCTCATCCGTGCATACTTACCTCTACTAACAAGTCTGGTGTTCGTGTCCACCTTGATTGGTTTACCAAGCTTGGACCCAACTTTCATAAAGAACTCGTGGTCATAGTAGTTTATTGGGAGACATGGATAGCGTACCCACACTGTTAGCTATTCCAAGATATCAATGAAAAGATCAAAATCAGGATACCAATGACGCATTGAAAGATAGTGGTCTGCTATTATCGAGGGACCCACTAATAGAGCATAATCATAATCATATGAGCTGTTGAACTTGACCAAGAAATAGTTATTTTCAAGAGTTATCACCTCTATCGTGGATACATGCCTCCATAATTCCTTAACTCTTTTAACGAGGTAATTGTATCCCACTATTCGTCCAAGAAGTTTAACAATCAGTGCAAACCGCCAAGGACGGTGTAGTCTACGTTTCTCAAGCCTTGAGACATGAATAGTGGGACATGCCCTATCCTCCTCTAAATCAGAATCTTCAACTGAGTCATCACTCTCGTAATCAACTCTGTTAGACCGAACATCAAAGTTCATATCCTCTTCACGCTGATTGTGCCCTAACAATGAGTCCTTGAATGATAAACCAGTCTTCTCATTATCCCCCTGATCCATGATCTCAACCAAGCCAGTAGGCACCTTTTAGATTTCTTTTTGGTCAACTGCAGAAGGAGATCACACTCCTCCATGGATCGGCCATGAGCACGGAGAGAGCCTTCCACATTGAGAGCCATTTTTTTCCTTTTCGATGAATAATAATAATAATAATAATAATAATAATAATAAATATATTAAATTAGTGAGTTGTTGGAATTTTATAAAGAGATATTTTTAGCTGAAAAAATTAATAATTTTTACTATTATCTAATTTTTCATCATATTCATAATGTGTTATGATAATCTATATTATATAAATATATGAGGATTAGATAATTACACTACAATCATGCCTGAGTTGAAAGTTAATGTAAATCTAACTTTAGTAATAAGATAAATGAACAACTTACATAGAAAACAATTTTAGATGGACGTCATCTATTTATTTATATCTATATTAATATACAAAAACATAAGCCGGTTTGCTATCGTGGCTTAAGGTTAAAAGACTTATTTGCTTAGCTAGAATTAAATTATTTCTCATTTAAGAGAAATACATAATGATTTTATTTATTTTTTTAATTTAATTATCTCCTAATTATTAATTAATATTATGTTGTTAATTGCTAATTTAATTACTGAATAGTCTTTTAAATTTCTACAAGAGTTAAGTAATTAATAGTATTCCACTAATGATAATTGTTAATTGTGAATTAATTAAGGAGTCATTTTAATTTATGAAAGTGCAATAATTAATTGTACTCAATTAATGATAGTTGTTTAATTGTGATTAATTAATTGAAATTGGCAAATTAGTTGGGATTAATTCTTTTTTGGTTGAAAGTGGTTGCTCCTAGGGCTTCACGTGACTCGTTTTAACCTAAGTTAATTTGAAAAATCCAACTCAATTCCGTGAGTTTGAAGATATAATAGGTTGAATCGACTGAGTCATCTTTGTAATAATTATGATGATGACGATATTAACAAATTTAATTTTAATATTGTTATTTAAATATATTTATAATTTGTCAAAGTTATTGTATAATTTTATTTCTAAGTATATATAATTTTTTTGGTAAGTTCTCTCAAATAATTATATTTTATTTAAAAATATTTTTATTATGTATCATTTATGTGACCATGAATTTATATTGAACCAATACACAAATCAACCGATTTATAATCTGCTGATTCACGCTTTTAATGAATTAGATTAGGTCAAAAAAACCATTGACCTATACATATATATCTAATATTTTAAATCAATAAATCTAATCCGGGATTAAGATGATTAAGGGTGAGATGTCTCTTCATTTTCTAGCCAACAACTCCTCGGTCGAGATTTTTTCAACATGTCAACCACATTTACACGAAAGCCCAGAGCGGACCCCAACCGAAAGGCAGTAGACGGACGGATGTGACATTCAGTTACAGTTGATAAACTAACGAAGCGAAGAATTGAAACGGACATCAGCCCTTCGATCCCTCGATCCCTCGCTCCATACTTCAATGGGAATGGCAAACCAATGTGGAGATTGGTTAGTCTCTTATGAATTATGATGAGTCTTTGCCTTCAAAACAAAAATTCGTTTGAAAAAAACACTATAATGAAAATTCTTTAAAAAAAATATATTAGAAATTCAATATATCCTTTATTGTTGTAATAATAAATTTCTTAAGTATTAAGTACAACAAAAACAATATAACTAATCAAATTAATAATTTCTTAAAAATAATAACTTTATCAAATTTAACCTTTTTTTTTTTTTCATCACAATTGTTATGTATACACATACATGGTGATGATCCTTAACAATAGACAGTAACAAGCTTCCTAATACACACATATATGGTGTAGAGGCAAACCACATGTTTTCCTCAAATAGGGTGGTATATTGAGATTAAAAGCTGTTGATGTCATGTCCAAGTGTTGTCATCCCTGTAAGAGAATTTCCAGAAATAGAAAAATACGAACAGCGATTTCTCAATTTCCAGGAGGAAAAATCAAAATAGTTCAAATCCCCAGGGAAGAAAATTTTAAAGCAAATAACTTACCTTTTTAAAAAAACATAACAGGGACATGTTTTCACAATATGCAGAATTTTAAGGTTAATTTCAAATCCCCAATTGATAATGATTTTCAGTATTTTGAAAGGGGAAACACAAAGTTGCCTAAGCAGATGAGACAACACTTAGCTAATTTTCTTCTTCTATTACAGAAAATACAGGAGATGAACTAAGTGTGGCTGTGGGGGTGAGGAGAAAACATGGTCAAGAATTAATTTGGTTGATGTAAGAGGATTGTATGGCTTTGATGAAATTCAATATTCTTGATCCATCACCTTGCTTCATAACTTTTCCATTTTCCATGTAAAAAGCACCATCTGCATATTCAAGTTCTTCCAATCGATGCGTCACCCATAAAGCTGTAATTTCACCAGACGCAGCTAAGGAGTTCTTGACTGCTTTAATCACCCCAATCTAGCAATCCATAGTACCACATTTAGAATATCTTCATCCAGACAGTAAATAAAAATCGACCTAAAAAGCTCTTGACCATTTTAGAGGTTATGATTACCAGATGAAAATTTACCTCTTGCACCTTTACTACTTGTTTGAAATAGAATGAAATCCACAAAATTTTGTGGAATTCATTTAAAAATCGAAATTTATAATTTGCAATGAAAAAAATGAAGATTTCAATTCAACCGAACGTCGTAGCCTTTCTATTTCTTTTCCGGCATGCAATATCATCATACTCTTTAATTGAATTACATGTTTTAAGTTAAATATACAAAAGATGAAAAATCCATTTACAGATAAATTTTACCTCGAATTCACTTTACAAATGAATTCCACATTTTAAATTTATTTATACTAGACATTTAGAGATTAAATTGTGAAGCTTTTAAGTATAGGTTTTTGTATTTGGAAGATAAGGAAAAAAAAGTTCATTTAGATTTCTGTCTTATTTCACTAGCACTGTTCCAAGGAAAATACAGTTCAATTTTACAAAATCACTAGATTTGATGATTGTTTTGTGATAATTTTGACTGCAGAAGAACACAGTTAGATTTTAAAGAGAATAAAACTGATGTTCAAACAATAGCACAGTTGCAGAGGTACTGAATTATCATCTCCTCTTAAAGAATCATCTAAAAATGTGTGCTTTAGCCGTCAAATGTAAAGGAATCCACCATTTAGAATCTATCAAGAAACAAGTTACTAATCATACATCTAATTAAACATACAATTAACATAACTGGACTGCACATCAGACATGGTTTCACATATAGAAGACTTGGTGCCACTTACTATTTGAGTATTCTCCAAAAATGCCGAAAGTAACCATTTAAGATGTCATACCTGATCATTTTGGTCCAAAAATGTTGTGAGCTCATCCAACAAAAGCACTTTGCATGCTTCAGCTAAAGCACCAGCAATGGCAACCCTTTGTTTTTGGCCACCACTCAAAGTTTGAACTGGCCTCTGATTGGTGCATAATAAGGCAATTATGCATCACATAAAATTAGAAATCCGTACTGAAAATATATAAATACATAAACATACTTGCATGTAGGCAGACATGCCCACATCATCCAGTGCCTTTGACACCCTCTGCCTAACATCATCCACACTCAGGTTGAACTTACCAAGGCCAAATGATACATCAGCTTCTACTGTAGGCATCACAACCTGCAAAGAAGGTTAATCTTATGCATGTCTGCCAGATTCAGCTGCTATATGACTTCAAGAGATCTTTTCGAGTACTGCAATTCAATTGTTATACACAAACTTCTGAGGCAATATGAATCTGGCCCCATCATTTTTTTTGTAACCAGAGGCAAAACCTTGGTATGCAATCCAAAGAAAATCCCAAGATTCTAAATTCTTAACACTCCATGTCAGTTGATAGCAGAACAAATTTAACCTACCAAAAGTTGTGGGGAAAAAATAAAGGAATATGTATAGTTGCTCTCCAAACTGGTCACCTCTTACACTGTAGTCTAAGAATTCAATAATTACCAATTAGGGATATTAAAAGCTGGCCATTTAGAGTTCAAAAAATTAGCAAACTGGTTTGCACCCTGAAGATGAGCACCTTAATGAAGGTGCCTCGCATAACGTAACACACAAAAGACCAAAAATAAATAAACCATCAAAATAGGAAGTAGATACAACCTGATGGTCTGGATTTTGGAAGACAAAACTCTTAGGTCTTTTCACATACAATGTTCCGCTGGTTGGCTGTAAAACACCGGCCAAAATCTATCCAATTTATGAAATAAAATCCAATCATTATTTTGCTATAACTTCAGACATGGAAACAAAACGATTAAGCAAATCTTTCATGTACAGCTCCATAGAAAATAAATCAAAATAAGAACCAGTCTCATCTCACATCAAGCATCATTTAAATAGCATAATCCAGGATAAGAGTCATTTAAATGTAAAAGAACACAAATATTTGCAAATGGTTACTTAAATACAGTTGCAGTTATCCTCAATCACCATGCCCTAACTAAATGTGTTTCATATTGATTATCTACCAACTCATTCCTAAAAGGTAGAAAGTCGAAATCCAATATTAAAGAATAATATGAAACATTCGTATTTGATTTTACCTTCAAAAGTGTAGACTTTCCACAGCCATTGGGTCCAAGAAGCATCCAAAGCTGTCCAGTCGGTATTTGTAGGGAGCAATCCTTAAGGATGGGAATCAATTTTCCTTGCCTTGTGGCATATGAGAAGTTGAGATTCCTTCCTCTAATAGCAATATTATCAGTCCTGTTACTCCTGCAAATAAAGATACAATAGTGGGATAAGAGAAACTGAATCAAACTAAAAAGAAACTGAAAGAATATGAGATAGAAAACAACGAGAGTAAGAGAAATCCCAAATCTGTTTGAGGAATTGCATAGCAGGGAGAATGAGAAGATGTGGTTAAACCTAGCCTGAGGAGTAGATTGGGAAGAGGAGGAATACCAGTAGAGGCACGAAAGAGAGCTATGAAATCCATTTAGAGATGCTCAAAATAATTTTTGGTTGAAGTCATATCTTATATTAAACAATTCAAAGGCAATCTGTGGATTGCTAAACCATATGTCCAGCTACATGCCCAACCCATTCATGTATTTTTCTTAGCTATATAAAAGAAGATAGCAAAATATACAATTCAAATTAAACAATAACATGAATAGAAAGAAATTGCATACTTCTACACATAAAATTGCATATTGAAGCAATTACTTGAGATGACTCTGAAGATAAAAACAAATAAATATAAAATGGTTGAATCACAAATCCATGGAAAAGAATCAACAACCAATATCAGCATTACTGGGATAAAATAAATAAAGGGAACATTATTAGAAACATAAACTGTTGTAACAAGAGAAATGTTGAGGAAGGGAAGAGTTCACCTGTCATGTGCCGTGGACAGACAAGCATTGGTTAGGAGACGGTGAGATTGAGCTGCCATAAACATGACGGAGAAGCTTCTCTCAGATAATTTGATTGAAGTAAGGTTGCAGGGGACGGACAAGAAGTGAAAACAGAAACCCCCTTCTCCTTTCAAAAACAATCTGTAATGCACAATTTTGAAGGGAAAAAGCTTCCAAAGAGGAAGAACGCTTGAATGAAAAATCCAACGCCAGACCAGTTATCAATTATCATTCTCCGTCACTGATAGACGAACATGACGTTGGTCGACATCAACTGCAGCAAGTGAAGGAAAGGATTGAAAGTCTGCAACTGCATATTAGATAACAAGGAGAGATTTGTTAATAAACATATATCTAAGTCATATTAAGAACAATTTAGTTTGCACATGAAACTGTGTCGTTTAAGCTTTAAAAAAACAAGACAAAATTAAAAGTATAGCCATACAATTTATTGTAGCATGATATAATTTGAACCTTCAACTTTTATTACATGTCTAATTTATTAGATGTCTAATAAAACATATTTTAAAAATCAAAAATTTTAAAAATGGTGAAAACTAAATTCTTGTGTAATTGTTTTCTTCTCCCTCCTCAAAATTGTAAAACTAAATTCTTGTGTAATTGTTTTCTTCTCCCTCCTCAAAATTGTAAGTTCAATAGTCAAGAACTTACAATGTTGTTGCACTCACAGACACTCGCGTGGCGTGTATACATACTGAACAGCTTTAATACAGAATTACAAGACAAAATTAAAAGATACTAGCCATTACAATTTATTTGTAGCATGAATATAATTTGAACCCTTCTAGAACTTTATTACATGTCTAATTTATTAGATGTCTAATAAAACATATTTTAAAAATTCAAAAATTTTAAAAATGGTGAAAAACTAAATTCTTGTGTAATTTTTTCTTCTCCCTTCCTTCAAAAATTGTAAAAAAACTCATTTGCCATCCATCGTGGATCCGTCTTGGCTGTACCCGTCTCTCTCATACAATTCGTAAACACATTAATTGTGTCGGTAAGTCGTGCTGATGCCTTTTTATATGTTTTTGAAAAACACTTTCAACCTTTCAATATTATTGCATCACGAACCAATCATCATATACGAAAATCTCTTCAAAATTTTCTTTCTTTTTTATCTTGCTATCTGTTCTCTCTTAATACTTCAACGATGAGTCATGGCTGAGTGCGTTATAGAACCTCAAAGATTCACCTATCTCATCTCTGCTTCTAGACCTACATTCTTCAGTGCGAAAGTTCTTCTCTCTCCGGTCCTGGAGTCCACCATGATATACTTAGTTGTTTTTTTTTTTTTTTTTTTTTTTGGGTAAAAGTATGGTAAATTGGTTATAAACTCAAAGTTTATATCCTCAACTGTCCAAAAGCTAATTTCAGGTCAAATTGGACATCTAGTAAGTCATTAACCATTAACTAGTTGATAATAGTGTTGTGAGACTATAACTTTATTAAATTGTATATTTATGAGGTAAGAATAAGTCTTTCATAAATACTTGGATATTAACTTTTATTTAAAATAGAAATTCTATTGCATCATTATATTTCAACGCAAAGGAGGGAATATAATGACGGCTCACAATTCTTTAATGATTATTGATCCATTTATTTTTTTCTAAATATCTTGTATTATTATTTTAAATGACTATATTTGAACTTAGATAATTATTCAATATCATATCTAGTGATAATAATGTTTTTAACTCTAAAATCTATATTGTATAAAGATGGAGAAAATCTTTAATTTTATAAAGCTTGAAATTGAATTTCAGTTCAGTATAAAGCTTATAAAAATTTTTTTTATCTCATAATAAAATAAAATTTTTGATTTTGCATTATTGAGAAAATGATGGAATTTGATCCTAGTTGGAGAATTTAAAAGATTATTCTCAAATTCTTATTTATTTTTAATTTTAAAGATTTTTTCTTTATTCTTTAACTTGATGAAAAAAAATATAAATTTCAGAGTTGAATATTACTAGATGAAATTTTTTTTTTTTTTGAAAGTTCAAATATTGCATTGATCATATTTGCTTATGATGCCAATAAGATTTACACTTCATATGAGATGAAGTAAATAGTATGTTTATAATATCCTATTAGGAAGTTATACTTGCAATGAATTTTTCAACCATATTAGAAAATATAGATATCACACACCTTTAAAAAGTCACAGGTGCATTGCATAACCCGAAAGCCATTCTCTTATAAGCAAAAGTGTCATATGGGCAAGTGAAAATAATCTTCTCTTAATCCTCGGGAGCTATGCGTATTTGGAAATATCCTGAATAACCATCTAGAAAATAGTAATAAGGATAATCTGCAAGTCTTTCAAACATTTGGTCGAAGGCAAAGGGAAGTGATCTTTGCATGTTGCTTTGTTCAACTTTCGATAATCAATACATGCACACCATCCTGTGGTAGTTCTAGTAGGAATCAACTCATTATTCTTATTAGCAATGACTGTCATACTTACCTTCTTTAGAACAACCTGAACAGCGCTTACCCAATTTGTAACACCCCTTCCCGGTCCACCCGAAAACCCGAATGAACCGAGTCGAGACGCTACAATTGGATGACTGTATGATCTATTATGCTGACTTTATACTGTATATAGAAAATACTTGATGCTGATAAAATTAATAATGTATATAAAATTTACAATACATGATACTGTTTACAAAGTAGAAAATACTATGGTAGCTGATAAAGGAATTTAAATGAATGTAGATAGTAAAGATTTAACAATACATGATACTGTTTAACAGAAGTGATTTGGGCCCAACTGGTGGATTTGCCCCTGTATCAATGGTGTCCATGAAAGGGAATATTAAATAAAGATAATTATCGCAAATAATGACTAGCGCTAACCCTGAAGACTGAGTCATCTGTAGATGAACTTCAAACAGTTGTAATCCGAGCCTCTATGAACCAGTCTCAAAAAACCTGCGAGGTTAAAACAGGTTAACTCGCTGAGCACTAATAAAGCCAGTGGATATACTCGAATTATAGAAAATAAGAGCAAATAAACGACATACATAATGTCAAAGAAACCATGTAAAACACATATAAGACACAATTCATTGTCATGTCAATTTACTTTGATGGTCTTTCTTTCTCCTTGTATTGTAACTAGTATGAATTTAAGTCAAAATATCATGTAATTGGGCTCCAGATAAGGTTTGATAGCGAAACGCGAGGTGATAAGATAAACTGTATGAAACTGTATGAAAAACTGTATGCTTGGTGCTGCTATGGCCTGGTATAGATCATATCACTGTCAATCGGCGCTGTAGCCGGAGTTGCACAAGACTGTGATGGGGGCGCAGATGCTGCATATTCTATGGTCGCGACATAAGCCTTGATCTTACATGGGTATTCTTACCTAACATCAATGGAGGCTTAATATATACATGTCAAATAATATAACACGCACAATAACATAAATGTTGCATAACTTCATAGTTCATCAGTATTGATTTGAGTTCAACATCTATATAAACTATTGACATGTTGTTTTTTTAATGCTCAATGGTTCTATGTTGTATTTTTTTGTTTTTGACAGAATGAGTTGATGCATGACAAGGTTGAGCAAGGAGAACCCAATTACAATAAGAAGAAAGAAAGTCCCAAAATGCAGGAAAAACCAAGGTCCGCGAGCGCGCCGTGTGGAAAGTGCGAGCGCGGAGTAATCAAGAAAATAAGAGGACAGTGTGTTATGCAGGCCACAAAGGTCGCGATCGCGTACTTAGAAAGGTCGCGAGGCGCGCGTAGTGTGCCAAATGGATGAGACAGTGAGTTATCATGCCACTACGCGAGCGCGCACTTGGAGAGTCCGCGGATCGCGTAAATGATGGCCAATATGAGAGTCCAGAGAAGTTTTCATGCCAGACTTTACGCGAGCGCGCAGTGCAAGTCGCGAGCAGTTCCCAAGGCCAAGGGGCCAACTATCGGCGAATCGCGTCTGTGCCAAGGTCGCGACAGCGCGAGAAGAGCAAAAATGAAAGTCCAGTGAGTTTGAAGTGGAAGTCGCGCGCCGGCGGCAGTGCAAAGTCGGCGAGCGCGCGACGGGTGCTTCCAGCCTACACAGGTGACCAGGATCGCAGAGCGGTTGTCCAAGCCTGCGGCAGTCACTGCACCTCTTATTGGTCATATACTCGCATATACAAGAATCCAAGTTTGGGGTGATTCAAAAAACCATTTGCAAAAGCTAACACATAGAGGAAACGAATAACTCTTCTGAATAGACACTTCCTAATTGGCCCATCATTAAATGGGGGTCAAAATCAAAGATGAAGTTCCTCCCCATGTATTTCAACATAGAATCTAAATACCTCGCCCTGTTTTCAACATCACGTCCAATCTTCTCACTCAAACAAAACAAGCAACCAATATCATCATCACTAGCACAACACCACACAAGTTGAAGCAATGCAAAAGAGACTAGTAAAGCAACATGAGATATCAAACCTTGACTTCAAAAGCTTGAACTCTGTTTGCAGCTTCTCTTTTCTGGGCAGCGTTTTGGAAGAACTTTTCGCTTCTCCCCCCTATAAGCCAAGAATTCTCAGATACTCAATGCTCCAATATAACTCAATTAAAGAGTGAAATAACATATAACTTCAGAGAATTCTACTTAATTGGAGTGGACTTAATGCTTAACTATGTGAGCAATGGAAAAAGAAAATGGGCGGAGACAAGTAAGAAGAGAAGGAGAACGGGAAAATGGGGGAAAATGTGTTGATTAAGAACGGAGTAGTCCTCTAGAAGAAATGAATATTGGCTGTGTACTTATCTCATATGGTACATTGTCAAGTTGTACAAAGGGCTAGCAACTGAATACCCAAGCTATATGTTTTGATGCAAACAAGTCCTATAACTTTCCATGCAAAAATAAGATCCACTTAGTCATTCCATGTCTACCAGCCAGGGTTGTGGTTCAACCCGACCCAACTCAAAGAGGATGTTACAGTTCCCCTTTCTAAATAGAAAAACTTCGGGTGCACCGAAGTTTAACCTGTTGTAAAACAAATGCGGATACTGTTGTCGCGATGGTTTCATTCTGATTCCCAAAGTTGCTGTCTTCTGGTGCTTATGGATTCCTGCCAAAGACTTTCACCAATGGCGATTTTCTTGTTCCGCATTCACTTTGTAGTTTCTTTGGCTAGGATTCTTGAACTGGTTCTTACTTCATAAGTAGAAGGGATCCGGCTGAATATCAATCGATTCGCGCTGATAACACATGTGGAGGGGGATCATGATTATATCTGTGCTCAACAATGGAATACATGAAATACAATTAATGGATTGCGATCTAAGGTTGG